AGATTTTGGTGTCCAGACTTCGGGCTAAGAACTTACTTTCTCCAGGAACATCATTTTACTGGCACAGAAATTGTGATAAAGAGTTTATACCACAAGAAGGTTCACTGGTTTATTGCAACAACATTGCTGAATTACTAACAATGCTAGGAGCTGCAGTCTATGAACCAAGTGAGTGGCGATTGTTCATTGATTCCTCCAAAATAAGTCTAAAAGGTGTTCTCCTTCACAATGGTAACATATATGCATCTGTTCCTATTGCTCATTCGGTTCATTTGAAGGAAACGTACGAAAATCTCGAACTTTTTATTAATAAGGTCAAATACAAAGAACATGGTTGACTACTTTGTGGAGACTTAAAAGTCCTTTGCATGTTGTTGGGTCAACAATCTGGTTATACAAAGTTTCCATGTATTTTGTGTGAATGGGACAGCAGAGCATGAAATCAACACTGGATAAAGAAGCAATGGCCACGCAGAGTCAGCCTGATACCAGGATCGAAAAACACTGAACGTGAAAGTTTGGTTGTCACAAAGAAAATCCTGTTACCTCCACTTCACATAAAACCGGGCTTGATGAAGTAGTTTGTAAAAGCCTTAGACAAAGATGGCGACTATTTCAAGTATCTATGTGGATAATTCCCAGCTACTTCAGAAGCGAAACCTAAAAAAGGGATTATTGTTGTGCCTCAGAGTAGGAAATTGACTTCGGATGAGCTGTTAGAAAGGACAACGAGGAAAGTTGAAAAAGAAGCATAGATTGTCTTTAAAGATGTTATTGACAAATTTTTAGGAAACAACAATGACCCAAATTACGAAAATATTGTCAATAACATATTCAATAAATTTAAAGAGTTGGGTTGTAATATGAGCTTGAAAGTTCATTTCTTACACTCACATATTGACTATTTCCTTGAAAATCTTGGTGCCGTCAGCGAAGAACATAGGAAAAGGTTTCATCAAGACATCGGGGAAATGGAGAGGAGGTGTCAGGGAAGGGGGAACATCAGCATGATGGCTGATTACTGCTGGTCATTGAAACGAGATGCTCCAGACGCAATACATAAAAGAAAGACCACAACACATAGTTATAAGACTAAAAGACGTAGATTTCACACACACACACACACAAAACAAAATCAGGACGAATGAGGATGCATATTCGTTTGACATCAGTGTTCTTCCCCTTTCTTCAGTTTGTTTGTATTTTTGTTAACAAACGTAATATTAAAAAATGTTTATTGTGGTAAATGAAATAATAATTTGATCTCAGTAAGAGCTTTTTTCTTCCCGACATGTAAAAAATCCTTGCGTGATAAAAAAAAAATATTATTATTATTTTCGAAATCTGCGTAGCTGAATTATAGAAAATCCGTTATTAAAACCAAAACAACTTTTATGAAGTTTAAATTTTTATGCTTGTGTAATCATTGTGAAATTGTTAGAGACGAATCGTTGTACAGAAATAAATCTTATTCTACAAACAGCCGTTTCAAATCTTCATCTTATTCATAAGATAAGTGGATACCTCTTAATAAGGAGGAATAATCAATGAACATTGATTAATGGACTTAATTAACAGTGACGTCACTTGTAATTTAAGTCATTAGAAAATCGCTCTTTTATTTCTCTTAATTTTCATTTATATTTAATTAGATAATAAAGAGTATACTTGGAACACATCAGAACTATGAAATATCTTTGTTACCGTGACAAAGAAATTTGAAATAAAGAATAAACAAAAATATAAGATAAAATGTTGCTATTGTTTTATTTATTTATGAAGTTCAATCACTTCTTACAAATCATCTTAGTATAATGTTAACCATTATCAAGTATTAGATTATTGGATTTACAGCAGAAAATTTACATAATTTTATTCCTTTGCCAATAATTTACATCTCTGACTAATTTTCCAGATATACAACATCAATTTAGTAAATAAAGAACGTTTCCAAATTTTGTAGTTATAAACATAAATGATTAGTTTAATAGACTTTCAGGGTTAGCATCAAGTCACTTCAAGTTTTCTGGCTTATATTGTAATCCTGTTTTCAGTAATGCACACCTAGACGAAGAAAGAAACAAAATAAGAAGTAAGTAAAAGTCTAAAACGTGCACAGAAGTAATTTTACGATGATTGTGTACAGAAATGTGAAAGTAATTTTACGATGACTGTGTACAGAAATGTGAGGGTAATTTTACGATGACTGTGTACAGAAACGTGAAAGTAATTTTACGATGACTGTGTACAGAAATGTGAGGGTAATTTTACAATGACTGTGTACAGAAATGTGAAAGTAATTTTACGATGATTGTGTACAGAAATGTGAGAGTAATTTTACGATGACTGTGTACAGAAATGTGAGGGTAATTTTACAATGACTGTGTACAGAAATGTGAAAGTAATTTTACGATGACTGTGTACAGAAAGGTGAAAGTAATTTTACGATGACTGTTTACAGAAATGTGAGGGTAATTTTACAATGACTGTCGTACAGAAATGTGAAAGTAATTTTACGTTGATTGTGTATTATTTAGGAAAGAGAAGAATTGCATGATATAAAGCTACCACAGTATTTTTCGTATTCTTAAACATCTGCTCAGCACCTGCTCTACTCGTCTGTTGGATATGTACACAGGAAATCACTTGGCTATATCTAACAACGTAAATAAAATATCGTCAGATTGTATCTTTATGGGCTTATTATTTAACTATTACAGTTTTATGACGCCAGAAAAACAAGTAAGTTCAATAAATAAGTTTAGATACAAAATGATAAGAACGCTGTAATCCGAGCGCTTTCGAAAGGTGGACCTTTCTTCTTCAGGGGGCAAACTGTTTGTTCCTGAAGAAGAAAGGCCCATCATCTCAAATTATCTTGCGTTCTCTCTTCTTCCCTTTTTATTTTTATTTGAAAACGTATCTTAGCAACAAGACGTCTAGTGGCAAAACATCTAGTATTTAATTACTAACAATAAGAAGAATTCAGTTACATTACTGAAAAACACAATATCTTCAAAACCTATTACAATACGCAATATTTATAATGTAAATATAACATTTCATTGTATAAAATTACTGTTTTCTTGATTCTTTAATTACGACACCTGTAAGAAGTGGAATACTACTTATAATTGTTATATTTCTACGACAAGAAATATTTTTGTATTACAGCTATTTCTGCCAGGTTTCTTAATTTTTACCCCATGCATACTATACCAGTGGCTGTCTCTAAGATATATAAAACAGATACGTAGGGAAATATCTGGAACTTATCCCAACAACTGAATCTGGACTGATATTGGTCCATACCAAATTTCATCTAGCCTCAAATTAATTTAACTTCGAACTTCATTCTTGTTTCATGGAAAATTTTAATATTTAACTAAAGAGAATCTGTAATTCTTTGGATGATTGACGAATATAATACATATCTCAAATCAGATATTAAACGGGTTTCGTTTTGAACTTGTTTAATTTTCAAGTTAAAAATCAATGCCTATATCACACAGTAGTAAAAAAAAGAACAAACTCGTAGGATAAAATTTGTTAGTAAATCACATTAAATAAAACGACAAAACCTACACATTCGACAGGTGGACCTGCTTTCTCCTAATGAAGACAGTACCACCTGTTAAACATTACTGTAAATGGAAAGTGTGTACTTACAGCTACGTTCCACAACATCTCCTTAGCTATATCTGTCATTTGGTTGTTTGTTCCACCGTCAGAGGAGAGCATTTGTTGGGTTTGCAATCTACCAAATGGTTGTTGTTGTTGTAAAAATTGATTTGGGAACTGTTGGGTGAGACCTCTATTTATAAGCGGTTGTGTGAAACCTCCATTTTGAAACGGTTGTGTGAAACCTCCATTTTGAAACGGTTGTCTGAAACCTCCATTTTGAAACGGTTGTCTGAAACCTCCATTTTGAAACGGTTGTCTGAAACCACCAGTTGAAAACTGTCTAAAATTTAAATTTGGAAACTGTTGTTGATTTAAGGGCAATTGTTGTCCGTTGAAACCCGGAATTTGTAGTTGGCCTAAAGTTGGGTTAAAAAGTGGTTGCTGTTGATTATTGATAGGTTGTTGTCCGCTTAAAATAGGATTTTGCTGGAGCATGCCCATATTTTGCTGGGGCATGCCCATGCCCATACCGATATTATTAGTTGTGGGTTTGCATCCATCTTCCCAGTCAGGCTATAAAAATATTAACATTAGACACAATTGTCCAATCGAGTGAATCTGAGTGTAATTTACAAATACATAATTGAGAACAATAATGGTGAATTTACATAATTTACTCTTGTAATAGAAACTTTTCATTAAGGGCAAGTATTTAAGAAGGAGAATATAGTGATGGAGTTCACAGCTTAGTGAAAAATAATATTTATTTTCGATATCACGGTCATAAGTTAGTTTTGTTGTTGTATACTCGCTTTTTCAAAAAGGGAGTATGAAGTCACAATTATAAAAATGTTGAGTTATATTTTTTTAACTGAGTATACTCATTAATTTCCTGCATAATTAAAATACTTTATGTTCCTACTGTTAAAATGTACAGCGTTGTTAACAAGGCACGTCAGAATTCCCAACTTTTTTATAATTTATTTATTATTTTTTACATTAAACTTGTTTGTTAGATGAAGAAAAGCATTGGCCAAAAACATATGATGGTTATGTTTATGAATAAAATAATTTTATTTTAATGCAAATTCTCCTACCGTTTTACTTACTTAATTATTTAACTAACGTAGCTTTCTTGTTTTTATGTTAGTTCACGTTTGTTTCTCCTTCTGTGAAAAAGAAATATAGAAAATATTGTTCATCATATCCAGTGAGGAGATGGTTAGAAATGGTTAAGTACGTGAGAAGAGGGTTAAAAATGTTTCCATGTGTCGTTGTGAAAACGTCGTGACGGTTTATTCTCTATTTCTAAACTTCATTTTCGCTGTTTTAACGTTTTTAGTTTACAGTGCGAGTTATCTCCGTTTTGTTTATGTAACTCCATGCGTCTCAAATGTGCTATTTTCGTGTTAATGCCTTAAGATTTGTTTGTTGTTAAGCGCAAATCTACATAATGGCTCATCTGTGCTGTGTCCACTACGGGCATCGAAACCCAATTTGTAGCGTTATAAGTCACTAGAAGAGGGGGGGGGAGCATGGCTGAAAGGAGATAATAATACAGAAGATATATAAACCCTAAAGTGTAATTATGTTCTAACCGAATATGTTCATCATTTTATTTAACGTGGATATTCAAAATAAATTAGGACCCCATACAATACCAGTTCAATACAAGGCCTCAAACAGTGACATAATTAACTTGCTAAACCTTTTAAGCCATCAAATTATTTTTCACATAATTTACTATTTTGGTTTATTAATTGTAAGTTTTGACTTTTTGAGCGATATAGTTTTGATCATGTTATCAAGTGTTCTAGTCTAATCCGTAGAAAACTATCATAAATTCACTTACCAAGCCGAGATTCTGCTGAACACATGAATAATACTGTAAAATGATAATAATATATATAATTATGCAATTATTTCTTTTTTTTCAAATTTGGTTTATATATAAAAAAATCAAACTTGAGTATTTACGTATTTATAAAAATAAGTCAATTTTATTAAATGAATCGAGAAACATTTACCCACGCCTTTAACTTATTGAAACAAAAGTCATTATTATTTCTTATTTCAATATAAATTGAAATAAATGCTTGGGATTCTTTTGTAAATATTATGAATCTGTATTCTTTACATGCAACATTTTAAATACTATTATAAACAGAACAGAAAATAATTTTGATTGTGAAAATGTAATATTTGAAGTTGATTTCTTGCTACGTTTTTTTTAACGAAAATTATCTCGAATAATCTTACAAAGCGCGATATTTGACTGAATACGCGAGAAACATTCATTTCTAACGTTTGTCAATGAGGAAATAAAAAATCAGTTTGCTGAAGTCATAAACTGGTCTACAGCGCAGGTTTCGCTGTTATAAATAGCCTAAAGTAGAATTACATATGATATGTTACAGCAAGAAATACTAAATAAACACATTAAAATATTCTTCATGAGAATAAGTTTAGACATTGTGGGGCACTTTTTTTAAACCTTAAAATGCGCTGATTATTTAGTTTTATGGTGAAGATTAATACGCCTAAACACCTTCCGAGTAACTATATGACTTTTAGTTCTATTCTATTTCTCTAATTGAGAAGGTGGATTTCTTTTTATCAACTATGAATATTTCAGGCCACCCAATAAAATTTCAGAAACATCATTAATATAATTAGAAAATTCACTGATCCATCTTTACCATAAGTAATGTTTAAAATTGTAATAAATAAGGCAGCTCGTTTAAGAATACTTTTCACTTTTACTACGTTAAAACTTAAAAGAAAACCAAAGTGAGTGAAGGTGGATTTTAAACTTGTGACTCTGTTTGGCGGTAAAATACCTCATATAAACAAGTACGATAAAAATTAAAGTTTGAGTTTTACTTTATTAATTGATATAGTGAAAATTTTGCTTAACCCAGAACCCGTGTTGTCAGTTTGGTGAGAAGTATCGAGTTAGGCACAAGGTCTTGAAATTGAATGAAAAAATTGTGTAGTTTTTCTGAGTCAACATTGTTCAGTTAGTGTTATATTTATGACTGATCGTTTGCTGCCTCTGCTTCACTCACCTGCTTCTCTAATGTCGAATTTGAACACTGTTGTTTCAGTACTTGTAGATTATCAAGTCCTTGGAAGAGGAATTCTTTACAGGATTGTTTTACCTGTAAAACCTACATAAAAAACGCGCAACTACTCGTTAAACTAAGTTTCTTTATAACTCCGTATTAAATGACTAGTGTATGACAGTTCTTTTTTTAAACTTGCACTTTTCCAGATAATTTTAGAGTTAGTAGAAGATAATCTCATGCTTAAGTACCCATAGAAATATGCTGAATAATTATTATATACATCTAATTTTGCCAAAGAAAACAGACATTAATTTTTATTTAAAACGTTGACACTTCTTCAGTAATACTCGAATGATGTAATTTACAAGTAGTACGTGGTAAGATGTTGAGAAGTTTTACATTGTTTACTACGTAATTTACAAATAGTACGTGGTAAGATGTTTAGAAGTTTTATATTGTTTACTACGTAATTTACAAGTAGTACATGGTAAGATGTTTAGAAGTTTTATATTGTTTACTACGTAATTTACAAGTAATACGTGGTAAGATGTTTAGAAGTTTTGCATTGTTTACTACGTAATTTACAAGTAATACGTGGTAAGATGTTTAGAAGTTTTATATTGTTTACTACGTAATTTACAAGTAGTACGTGGTAAGATGTTTAGAAGTTTTATATTGTTTACTACGTAATTTACAAGTAATACGTGGTAAGATGTTTAGAAGTTTTATATTGTTTACTACGTAATTTACAAGTAGTACGTGGTAAGATGTTTAGAAGTTTTACATTGTTTACTACGTAATTTACAAGTAGTACGTGGTAAGATGTTTAGAAGTTTTACATTGTTTACTACGTAATTTACAAGTAGTACGTGGTAAGTTGTTTAGAAGTTTTATATTGTTTACTACGTAATTTACAAGTAATACGTGGTAAGATGTTTAGAAGTTTTATATTGTTTACTACGTAATTTACAAGTAGTACATGGTAAGATGTTTAGAATTTTTATATTGTTTATTATGATGCTACAAATAATTATTTTTTCGAAGGTTTAAAATTTATTAAGAGACGTGTTTTTACCTAAGTCAGTGCACAACATTAGTAATGTTTCATTAAACTTACGTTAGGCGGAATTTTGCCCATGATGCATTCCAATCTCTTTGTCTTCACGGCGTCAGGCACTATCGATGCTAGTGTGGAAAAAAATATTTACATATGAAACCTAACATTATTATTCGGGTGTTATTTCAACTACATTGATTATATATATAGTGAATATAGATATATTTTACAAAAATACAGTATTTACAGTTATAGATTCTTCTGGGATTCTAGGCTTAGGAATCATAAGTGTAAAAACACGATTAAAAGAAAACTGTTGCTTTGTTTTTCACATGAATGTCGCCACTTCAATAGTTTTTGTGAAAGTTTCACAACAATGTAAAAATATGATAATTTGAATACAAAGTTTCTCGACATGTTTATTTCTAGTAAAGTATTTTATAAAAAGTAATATTTAGTTCAATAACCAATATCTTTATTGTAAGAGCCCTTTACTATTTAAATCAATATTACGTTACTAAAGTAAAAATTGTGTTTTGTGGCTTGATATTTATATAGCGTCCAAGTTATACTTCCCTATAAAACAGCTAGAGTGGAATTTAGTGTAAGGTTTCTAGTTCTCCACACAACAACAAGAGTGACATTTAGTGCATATTTTCTACTTCCCTACACAATAACAAGAGTGACATTTAGTGCATATTTTCTGCTTCCCTACACAATAACAAGAGTGACATTTAGTGCACATTTTCTACTTCCCTACACAATAACGAGAGTGACATTTAATGCATATTTTCTACTTCCCTACACAACAAGAAGAGTGACATTTAGTGCATATTTTCTACTTCCCTACACAATAATAAGAGTGACATTTAGTGCATATTTTCTACTTCCCTACACAAGAACAAGTGTGACATTTAATTCATATTTTCTACTTCTCTACACAGCCTCAAGAGTAACATTTAGTGCATATTTTCTATTTCCCTACACAATAATAAGAGTGACATTTAGTGCACATTTTCTACTTCCCTACACAATAAAAAGAGTGACAGTTAGTGCATATTTTCTACTTCTCTACACAACAACAAGAGTGACATTTAGTGCACATTTTCTACTTCCCTACACAATAACAAGAGTGACATTTAGTGCACATTTTCTACTTCCCTACACAATAATAAGAGTGACATTTAGTGCATATTTTCTACTTCCCTACACAAGAACAAGTGTGACATTTAGTGCATATTTTCTACTTCCCTACACAACAACAAGAGTGACATTTAGTGCACATTTTCTACTTCCCTACACAATAATAAGATGACATTTAGTGCATATTTTCTACTTCTCTACACAGCTTCAAGAGTAACATTTAGTGCATATTTTCTACTTCTCTACACAACAACAAGAGTGATATTTATTGCATATTTTCTACTTCCCTACACAACAACAAGAGTGACATTTGGTACATATTTTCTAGTTCTCTACACAACAACAAGAGTGACATTTAATTCATATTTTCTACTTCCCTACACAACAGCAAGTGTGACATTTAGTGCATATTTTAGTTTGGGATTTTAACAATAAAAATTGAGAATTTGTAAAAATGATTTATTTCCTATGAGAACTGAAAGTTGTATTAAATACCACCCATGTTTATTTACCTGCTTGGACGCAATTTCAATTTCTTATGTTAACTGTTTTACTCATTTCAAAATCGATACTTTATTAAACATAGTTTCAAAATATTCTATAGTTTAGTTTTACTTTCAGAACATCGAGACGTTAATTGTAAAGTGAATTCTATTTTTAATTAAAAAACAACTATTCTGTTTATTTGTAGAAAATGGTACAGGAGGAACGTTCTGTTTATCCACTGGCTCAGCAGTCAGGAAAATTCGGAGCTCGACACATCACAGATAGTTCATTGTGCAGATTTACGCTAAAACAAAACGTCTAGTTTATTCTTATAGAAATGAACGTTCGAAAACGTTTACCCGAAAAAATACCGTCACAAAAATACGTTTTTATAATTATATTTGGTTTAAATTTCGCGTAAAGCTACACGAGGGCTATCTGCGCTAGCCGTCCCTAATTTAGCAATGAAAGACTAGAGGGAAGGCAGCAAGTCATCACCACCCACCGCCAGTTCTTGGGCTACTTTTTTACCAACGAATAGTGGGATTGACCGTCACATTATAACGCCCCCACGGCTGAAAGGGCGAGCATGTTTGATGTGACGGGGATTCGAAGGCACGACCTGCGAGTCAAGCGTCCTAACGACCTGGCCATGCCGGGCACTAGAAGCGTATTTAAATGAATATAATGTAATGTCAAACAAACTATTTATTAATGTCAACGTTCTATCACTTTTATTAGTGACAATTTCTTGCTAGGTAATTGTCGGGACCTAACTACTTACCACACAACCCATCCTTCCAAAGAACATCTACAACCATCTGAGGACATCCACGGATGCTGTAGCAACAGCAAAGAATTAAACAAACTAATGTAAGGGCCTGCATCCTTGCGAGTCAGCTCGAACAGTTGAGAAAAGTGAGACCTACGTGGATCTTTTATGGCCCTCGTGACAGTTATGGATTCGAGCTGTTTAAACAACAGGTGTTATTTTTACGTCATGCTACCTTATTTTTGCTAGTACAATGCTTTAAGGTTATTTGTGATTGTACGTTAGATTAAAAGTAGAATGTGACTTGCGTATTGTCCCTGGATCTGTTTCTCAGCTGAGAAAACATTAAAAAATAATGAAAACGTATCATTTTAGCAACGTTATTGTAACATTTTTCTTCTCAGCTGAGAAAACATCATTGCGAAGCGTGCCTCTGCCTGATCTCCTGATCGGAATTTAGGTCTTTGTGACCTAGGAGGGTCAGGTACTCTGAGACCTCTTCCTCCCTTCCGTACCATGATATGTTGTCCTGAA